ACAGATCTACTATATAGAACGATACATATATTTATAAGATGATAAGAATCGTGTCGAACATTGCACATTGATAACAAGCATGAAACAATTGGCATTGTCGTACCTAAAGGATCTCTGGTCTGCTTACTACTGATTTCGCCGACATATATTGGCATTACGGCATAAGTTATATCACATCCTATGCCCGCGAGCACTCATCCGATATATATAAACGGTACAGAAGTGGACGAAGCCCGATGAAAAACTAAGAGGTAATCTTTGGTATAGTGATAACTAACAAGGTTCCTTTACGTCCGATGTTATCCATCAGTATAAATGGTACCAACGAGTCGATACTGGTCCCCACATACATGAGATTCACGATCCAAGCGATTTCATCAGTCGTCTGTAGAGGATCCTCGACATTAAATTTCGATATGGCGTAATCTATCCTTCGTGCAAGCCGCAATCGATTATCAAAGTACTACCTGAGAAGCGATTATACGTCAGAATTTTTCGAAGGTGCATTCACGTAAGAATATTTTTGAATGTTGAAGTAATTTCATCTCTTATTTAAGATACTTACTTACAAATCCAATCAACGTTTGTCGCAATATACAATGATTCATTATGTTTGATAATGTCCTTCTTTCACGTTAATTGTGTTCATCGGATTTTTTAAACAGTTTGCGTTTTAAATAGAGTAAAAAGTCATTTCTATTAAATAGAGTAAAAAGTCATTTCTATTACGAGAACAGTACGAAAAATGTGTGACGCGATTAAATAATATCTCATAGCTGTAAATAAATACATCTCGCTTTATACACTTTTGATCGTTTCCTAATTAGAAAAAAGTATCTATTATATAAATATATATTATTTAAAAACCACCTGCTGATGATGATTCATAAATTAAGACGACTTATCTAAATGAGATATACTTAATTATTGCGTAGAACATTGTCGATCATATTATCGTCGACGAGTAAAGTTTACTTCATTCAATTTGTGCATTCCGATTTTGAATTTAAAATTTTGCAAAGATACGAGGAATTGAAAATACAAACTTTTATTTGCTAATTATTAATGATCAAGCAGAAATGCGCGCTATGAAGTTGATCCATCTAATCTAGCAACACCGCCGATCTCCGAGCCAAATAGAAATAACGGATATAAAGCCAACAAGGGTTTTAACTAGGTTTCATGCCACATATCTCTCGACTCAGGGTGCGATATTATCACACGTGTAAACAGCCACGTCTGTACGCATGATCGCCACCCGCGGCGGTCGGAGAGCACTTGCTCTTGCTTTAAGGCTCGTGATGCGATACCCTTCCAAAATATCAGTTTATGGCTGGATATATAATAAATCCGCTTTTAAGAGACAGAGAGATTGAACCGAACGCGTTATTTAATATGAATTTATTGTCATAAAATCCTTCGCGTTTTTTCTTCATGGTGCTCAAAATAAAATATTTACTTGATGCAATGAATTTGATTGATTAATTAATATTAACGGACAACTTAGGACTGTTAAATAATAATGTTATTTTTTATTTTTTTCGTGCACTGGATTTTTCACCAAAATATATGTTAAATAATGAATTGGAAAGTTTATTAACTTCACAAATAAAAAATTATTTAGAATTATAATTAAAAAAATGTCAAATTGACATTTTGGAAGTTTTTCAAATTTAAATTTCAAAAGACAATTGCAAAACATAAAATGAAATATTCGGAAGCACAACCGTTTATGTCAGTGTAAATATTCGAACTGCCATACCATTTTTTTTATACTTGAATATGCGTTTATTGACTTTATAATTGCACACTTTATTTAATAATCTTTGAACTTTAAAATAAGGATATCATATCGACTTGCCGTAATGGCAAGTTAGCAAAATATTGCAAAAGTTATACATCTTTCTAAAAGTATTTTTCTGTCAACTTTTATACGATATCAATATATCAAGATATATACATCAAGATATAATATTTTCAAATTATATTCAATTTTTTATCATTGAAAAAGAATCCAACATATATTCTCATAATTTTATTTTTTTCGTTTACACTGGAGTTTCTTCAAAATATTTATTAAATAATGAATTGTAAAGTGTATTAATTTCATTAAAAAATTCTTTGGAATTTATAAAAAGCAAAATATCAGATTGATAAAAATGTAGCTAATTCTTCAACTTTTTGAAACAATATTAAAAAGCAATGTTTCTTTTAAATAATAAAATAATAATGATAAATTTTAGTTTCAGAAAGATGATATATAATGTGTTAAAAATAATTTCTATGATCTTATAAAATCAACGTGTAATATAAGGCAGTTTGATTTAACACTGATTGAAATTGTGTATCGCATTTTCTTTCATTTTAAGATATTATGTTCTGTAAAATAAATCCTTTTCTCTCGTAACTATTAGAGAAAACGTTAACATGTTTGGACGTACAATATTGCGCAATAGATGGACGGTGCACAGAACTGATGATTAAGATTTATTGCTTTAATAATATATAAATTATAACTGCAATAATTACATGTAATATTTAATTTTTCTTTTCCATTTTATGATGTAGTTTAGTAGAATAATCCGATTTAAAATATATAACAATCTTTCGTAAGAGTAGAAAATAGAAAGATTAATTTTTATATAAATTAAAAATAACGAAAACATTTTAATATTGAACATTGAAAATATAATGATGATTTGGCATTAGATTTTATTAGAAAATCTAAATTTATAAAAGAGTCTATAGATAAAAAGTAATTGATTGAATTGTCATTCTTCTTTTACGTTGATAGTAATTTCTATTGTAAATTAAGTTATTTTCTTACCGCGATGTTTCATTATTTATGGCGTGCATAATAAACTATTTTAGTACAGCTGTGCGCTAACATGCGGCTCGAACGAGCATCGACCCGATTAATTGATAGTTATATAAAAGTCATTATTTATACGCATATTTTATCACAATCACATTGGTACATACTGATTTAACAATGTCATTATCACGCGAGGATTTAATTCGCTTTTATCAGTGAGCTGTTTCTTAATTATAGGAGGTAGCTAAATCCAATTGGAAATTACTCAATCATGCTACTTGATGGATGGAATAGATAATACGGGCCACATTTTTTTGAACATTTAAATACTGAATATAATAATTATAATAGCGTACATATTATCTTGTTATCTATTTCTGTATCTGAATCTTTAATGCAAATTCTCTTGCATTAAAGCTAATCTGATTCACAATGAAGATTTCCTTAAGCTTGATTCTCTTATCTGGTGATTAGTACTTGTAATAATTTTCTCTGACAGCCTTAACTTATTCGAATTAACGCACTATGCATACGTATATATTAATGATGTATACGTTAGAACGCTGTATCGTTCTTTCAAGATGGAAATTTGAGATTAAAAAGAATATTTTTCAGAGACGAAATAATCTTTGCTACTTTTTTAATGAAAGTTTTATTTCTGGATTCTATCTATTCTATATTCGAATATTTTAACAGTGACGTTAATCAAGAACTACTACTACGAGAGTTGAACTTGACTTGTCCAAATGAACATACGAATCTCGTCTAACGCAATACTACTACTAAACGATTCTCTTTGCCGAGTTAAAGCTTCAAATAAGTAGTGATTTCCTCTCGCATCGTTTTTCTCTAGTGCCTTAACAAGTTCGAGATGCGATTTAATACCATTATCGACGCTATGTATTTCTATCAATATGTAAGAATATACACAAAACAATATATGAAGAAGTTATGAAGTAAATGAGGAAAAATTGTTTTATAATTTTAATAAAGAAAAAGGAAAGTTAATCAAAATTCATAACAAAATCGGTCTCAAATGATCATAAATATCATTGAAAATGTTCACATTGCAGTCTATTTTAAACTTTGTATTACACTACTTTTATAAAAATATATTGTTTTGAAAGTATCTTGTACAATTTTTGTTAATGCGATACATATAGTAATATAATGTTACATATTTACATGTGACGTTATCATAATGTTCACTTACTATTCGTCTGACTGAAGATATGTAAGCGCAAATAATTATAATATATATGTCTTGTAATGATGTAAATTATCTCTGCAAAATAGAAACGTTACTTTCCTTGTATAAATCTTCTTATGAGCTACCTTGAGTATATATACAGTATTGAGTATATATATATATATATATATATATATATATATATATATACAGGGTGTTTCCAACCACCCATCATACTATCCATTTAAAAACTAAAGAAGTGGCTATTTCAAAAAAGTAAAAACATTTTCTTTATAAATCGGGTGCACTCTATCGAATGGTGATATTTTCAACTTCTGATTCCGGCCGGAAATAGGCGACTCAGAATTGCATTTTTTTAAATGAAATCCCCTATTTCTCATTGCATATTCTTGTAGCTTACTTCGAGGGCTTTCCAAAACACTGTAATAAATTATTTTTCCATGAAGTACTTTTCGAGTTATGAGGCTTGAAATCATTTCTTAATTTTACATAAATCATAAAATATCTTGTAAAATATTCATGTTTCGATTATCTTACTTTAATATTTTTATGTACAAAATAATGAGAGAATTAATTGATGTAAAGAAAAGATACAGTTGTTTTTAAGAAAAAATATGGAATTGTTAATTGCAAATTACATATTTTTTCTTAGAAACAACTATGTGTTTTTTTTACACCAATTGATCCCTCTCATTCTCTTATTTTGTACATAAAAGTATTAAAGTAAGATAATCGAAAAATGAATATTTTAGAAGATATTTTATGGTTTATGTAAAATTAAGAAATGCTTTCAAGCCTCATAACTCGAAAAGTACTTCATGGAAAAATAATTTATTATAGTGTTTTGGAAAGCTCTCGAAGTAAGCCACAAGAATATGCAATGAGAAATAAGGGAGAGAAATAATAATTTTTCATTAGGGGAGAGAAATAATAATTTTTCATTAAGGGAGAGAAATAATAATTTTTCATTAAAAAAAATGCACTTTCAGTCTGAATCGCCTATTTCCGGCCGGAAGTTGAAAATATCACCATTCGATAGAGCGCACCCAATTTATAAAAAATGTTTTTACTTTTTTGAAATAACCACTTCTCTAGTTTTTAAACAGGTAGTCTGAAACATCCTGTCTATATATGTTTGTGTGTGTGTGTAAATTTGTGAATCGGAAACTGTCATCATTATAAAACATCGTTGTATAATTTTCAACTATATGCGTTTCACATATATTTAGTTGTACGACAATAAGTATTTGAATACGATTTCTAATTTATGTTTCTAGTTCTTCTTTTCTTTTCGTCCTTTTTATTTTTTTCTCTGTAATATTATAAGTAAATATTAGAAAATCAAGTCATATATATTACATACATACTCTAAATATAGAATTTAGTAATCTCTGATTTATTTTATAATATCGTTTATTTACTTCTTTATATCGCATGCACATTATTTCTTACTTCGCAATTCCAACTGTATCTCTTCCAAGGTTTTGCCTTCGGTCTCCGGCACAAATAGATAAATTAATACCCATATAAAAAATGTTATCGCAGAAAATGCCCATAATGGTGCAAACGTGCCGTACAACTCTTGCATAACCTATAATATAAATAATTTTGTCATCATATTATATATTCATCACATAACATTTAATTTTGAATAAAGAATAAAGAAAAAATATCTTAATATAATTTTATAATTCTCTAATACATAGAATTATATACATATACAGAAAATTATATGTAATATTACATATATATAGAATTATATAATATTACAATTTTATGCTTTAAAAGTTTAAATGAGGTTTAACAAGAAAAATTTGAATGACATATAACAAGAAAATGTTACAACTGGTGTTACACAACCATTATATATATAATTTCAGAAGATATCTTTTATGCAGATCCTTTTTTAATAGGCATTGAAGTATCGATTACTCGTTAAAATATAATTTGCATATTTTTATATCGCAATATATTTCCTAATGCTATTAAATGATAAAGAATCCTTTTGGCCATCAAACCTATTAACCGATGGCACATTATACCACGTTGTATAATACTATTACAAAATAAAGAACTCCTTTTGGTTAAACCTCTTAACTGATCGTTGCTTCCGATAACCCGCTTACCGCGCTCTCGTTCGCGAAAACAAAATCGATTCTTCGATACAGACGTCAACGTACCTGATAAAACTTTACAACGGCAGTGGTGCTTATGGCGTAGTAAAGAGCGTTGAGCACCGCGGCAGGTACTTTGACCTCGACGCCGAAGATCTCGCCCATATATGCCAGCGGTATTGGATTAAGGCTGAATCCATAACCGAACACGTAAATCACCACGAAGACTGTAGGCACCCACTTGAATCGAGAAACATCGTAGCCGCTGGACTGTAGCTCGAAGAAAATAGCTATCGAGATCAGGGATAGCACGCAGATCGGTGCACACATCAGCAGCAGAAACCTCTTGCCTGTGAAACGCACCACCATTACGCAGGCACCGCCAGACAGAACGATGATGATACCCGTCAGGATAATGCTAGTGTTAGTTGAAATCTCGAAGCCGGCCTCTTCGTAGATGTACGACTGATAAGCGAGTATCGGTGCCGCGCCCGTCAATGTTAAGGCGCTCAGTACTATCATAGCGATACGAAAGGCTCTTCTATTCTGTACCTTGGTGAAGATCTCTCTGAACATATCCTTGAGAGTTATCTTGCTGCACTTGTCCTCGGTTTCCACGATACGTTTCACTTCCTCAAGTTCCTCGTCCACGTTCTCTTTACCCAAGGCCCATTGAAGGGTTTTCTGCGCGGGATCGAGTTTGTTCTTACGCGTTAGGAATACCGAGCTCTCGGGTAACCACATGAAAGTCAGCAGAAATAGCACTGGCGCGCATACGCTTATCATCGCCATCGCGAATCTACTGATCCACAGGCCGATGGCATAAATGAGCATCATCCCAATGTTCATTAGAACAGCCATTAAAGTACCTAAAGATTTCATCTTATTTACTGATGTCATTTAAAAGATAATTAATTTCATAAATAACGTTATTCAAAATGTAAGGAAGATTACGGAAATATGAATTCTATCGAATATACAAAGCTATATAAATGCATCTTTTCAAGAAATATAAACTTCAAACGAAATGTGCCATTAAGAATCATCATCAACTGAAGACCGACACATTTAATGTTAACAACTGTACATATCTACCATGTAGAACGATGAATATGTTAATGAGAAGAATTGTGTCGAACATTGCACTTTGATAACAAGCAGTTAATATCGTCGTACCTAAAGGACCCCTGGTTCGCTTGCTGCTGATTTCGCCGAGATACATTGGCATCACGGCATAAGTTATACCACATCCTATACCCGCGAGTATTCGTCCGATATATATAAACGGTACCGAAGTGGACAGCCCGATGAAGAGCCAAGAAATGATCTTTGGTATAGTGGTGACTAACAAGGTTCCTTTACGTCCGATATTGTCCATCAGTATAAATGGTACCAACGAGCCAATACCGACCCCCACATACATGAGATTCACGATCCAAGCAATTTCATTAGTCGTCACTTTTAAAGGATCCTCGTGATTGAATTTCGGTATGGTTGGCGTACTCCATCCTTCGTGCAAGCCGCAATCGATGATTAAAATACTACCTGGGGAGCGATTATACGTCAGATTTTTTCGAGGTCGCATTCATGAGAGAATATTTCTGAATATCAAAGTAATTTCATCTCTTACTCAAGATACTTACATACGAATCCAATCAATGTTTGTCGCAATATACTACGGTCCATTGTATTCGATATCCTTTTGATTTCACGTTAATTGTGGATTTTTTAAATAATTATTTGCGTTTTAAACAGAGCAAAGAATAGTTGCTATTACGAGAGCAGCACGAAGAATGCGTAACGCAATTAAATAATATCTCATAGTTGCAAATGTGAATACTTCTCGCTTTGTATACTTTTAATTGTTTCCTATTAATTAGAAAAAAGTATCTATTACATAAATATATTATTGAAGAGCTATCTGCTGATGATAATTCATAGATTCAAGACGACTTATCTAAATGAAATGTACTTAAAATATTATTGCATAGAATTAACATTGTCGACCATATTATCGTCGACGTGCGAATAAAGTTTAATTCGTTCGACTTGTGCATTCTGATTCTGAATGTTAAAATTTTGTAAAGATGTGAAGAATTGAAAATGCGAACTTCTATTTGCTAATTATTAATGAGGAAGCAAAAATACGCGCCATGAAGCTGATCCTTCTAATCTAGCAACACGACCGACCTCCGAGCTAAACAGAGACAACGGAGATAAAGCCAACAAGGGTTCTAACTAGATTCCGCGCCACATATCTCTCGACTGAGGGTGCGATACGGTCACACGTGTAAACGGCTACGTCTGCACGCATGACCGCCATCCGCCGTGGTCGGAGAGCACTTGCTCTTGCTTTGAGGCACGCAATGCGATGCCTCCCAAAGCGACAGTTTATGGCTGGCTATACAATACACCCACTATTAAGAGAGACAGAGAGACTGAATCGGACGCGTTGCTTAACACGAATTTATTGTCGTAAAATTCTTCGCGTTTTGACAACATGTTATTCAAAATAAAATATTTACTTACTTGATGCAACGAATTGGATTGATTAATTAATATTAACGGACAACTTAGGACTGTTAAATAATAATGTTATTTTTTATTTTTTTCGTGCACTGGAATTTTCACCAAAATATATGTTAAATAATGAATTGGAAAGTTTATTAACTTCACAAATAAAAAATTATTTAGAATTATAATAAAAAAAATGTCAAATTGATATTTTGGAAGTTTTTCAAATTTAAATTTCAAAAGACAATTGCAAAACATAAAGTGAAATATTCGGAAGCACAACCGTTTATGTCAGTGTAAATATTCGAACTGCCATACCATTTTTTTTTATACTTGAATATGCGTTTATTGACTTTATAATTGCACACTTTATTTAATAATCTTTGAACTTTAAAATAAGGATATCATATCGACTTGCCGTAATGGCAAGTTAGCAAAATATTGCAAATGTTATACATCTTTCTAAAAGTATTTTTCTGTCAACTTTTATACGATATCAATATATCAAGATATATATATCAAGATATAATATTTTCAAATTATAATCAATTTTTTATCATTGAAAAAGAATCCAACATATATTCTCGCGACAATTTTATTTTTTTCGTACACTGGAGTTTCTTCAAAATATTTGTTAAATAATGAATTGTAAAGTGTATTAATTTCATTAATAAATTATTTGGAATTTATAAAAAGCAAAATACCAGCTTGATAATAATGTAGCTAATTCTTCAACTTTTTGAAACAATATTAAAAAGCGAGGTTTCTTTTAAATAATAAAATAATAATGATATGATTTTAATTCCAGAAAGATGATACGTAATGTTAAAAATAAGATGATACGTAATGTCAAAAATAATTTCTAAAATCTTATAAAACCAACGTGCAATATAATGCAGTTACACTGATTGAAATTGTGTATCGCATTTTCTTTCATTTTAAAATATTATGTTCTGTAAAATAAATTCTTCTCTGTCGTAATTATTAGAGAAAACGTTAACATGTTTGGATGTACAATATTGCGCAATAGATGGTCTGTGCATAGTACTGATGATTAAGATTTATTGCTTTAATGTTACACGGATCATAACTGCAATAATTACATGTAATATGTAATTTTTCCTTTCCATTTTATGATGTGGTTTAGCGCAGTATAATCCGGTTTAAAATATATAACAATCTTTCGTAAGAGTAGAAAATAGAAAGGATCTTTATACCGATACTGAATAATATTTTTGCGTTTTCTAAAAGTTAAAAAATATTTAATTCGACATAACAATCTCTCTCAATGTATATGCATACACACATATATTTACATTCTTCATTTGGGTATCTAATGTAGACTAGTTGATAATATCCTTCGAAAAAACCGGCTCGCACACCCAAAACCAGTTAGTTTACGTTCTTTGTTTTGCTCAAACAGGTTGCCGAAACGATCGAAACATGCGAAGTCCTTGCATCGCTCAGTTTATACCGAAACGTTTCTCTTCGTTCATCCACTTATCCGCAAAACACAAGAAGAAAGATCCATGGTTATTACCAAGGTCGTCACGTCTAGAGGTGTACGATATTTCATCTTAAATGTGCAGTCGATGAACGGATAATTGTGACGTCCTGAATCGAGAGAATCGTTCACGCGTGTGATTTTTGACTTATAATTAATAATAAAAATAACTTAATTTAATAAAAATAACTTTTTCGAACATAAAAAAGAAAATAATTATTTTCTATAATTTTTCAATGTTTAATGCAATTCCGGCTTTTAAATTACCACATTATATTAAAATTTTACGAAATTTTTAATTAAAGTAGCAAAAAAAGGGCTACTTTAATGTATTGTATCATGTCATATTACGTATATGTTTGTTGCAATCAGGTATTAGAATTTTCAGATCAAAAAAATTGCATTCGTCTTAAATTTCTTAAAATTGTAACGTAATAAAATAATTTAAAATCTGTGTATTTTTTTTTTGTTGCATTGTGTAATCATTTTCAAAGAGAGAGAATCGCTTAATATAACATTTGATTCGCTGAAAGAGAAATAGTTTTTAATAAAAAATATTTTGCATTGCATTATTCTCTTTTTAACTAGAATTTAGATATAAATGTAAATTTCATTATTCATTAAATAAAATTTTTCTTAATAAAAAATTGAATGATCTATAAATTCAAAAATTTTAGGCAATTCACGGTAGATTATTTAAAAAATAAATTTTTAAAGTGCGATTACTGATTATAAGTTAGTTGTTACTCCGAACTTAATTTTATGCTTTAATTGATTTTTGTATAACTTGAGAATAACAAAAACATTTAATGTCGAAAATTGAAAATATAGTAAATGACGATTTGTCACTAGATTTTATTAGGAAATCTAAATTTATGAAAGAGTCTATAGATGAAAAGTAATTGATTGAATTGTCATTTTTCTTTTACGTTAGTAGTATGAAGTAATTTCTACTGCAAATTGAGTTATTGCTTTACCGCGATGCTTCATTACCTATGGCGTGCATAATAAACCATTTTACAAGTGCGCGTTACAGCTGTGCGCTAACATGCAGCTCGAACGAGCATCGACCCGATTAATTGACAGTTATATAAAAGTCATTATACGTACACGCATATTTTATCACATCGGTACATACTGATTTAACAATGACATGTCATTATCACGCGAGGATTTAATTCGCCTTTATAAGCGAGCTGTTACTTAATTATAGGAGGTAGCTAAATCCAATTAAAAATTACTCAATCATGCTACTTGATGCATGGCATAGATGATATGGGCCACATTTTTTGAACATTTAAATAATAAATCATGATAGCGTACATATTATCCTGTTATCTATTTTCGTACCTGAATCTTTAATGCAAATTCTCTTGCATTAAAACTTATCTGATTTTACAATGAAGATTTCCTTAAACTTGATTCCCTTATCTGGTGATTAGTACTTGTAATAATTTTCTCTGACAGCCTTAACTTATTCGAATTAACACACTGTGCATACGTATATATTAATGATGTATACGTTAAAACTCCGTATCGTTCTTCAAAGAAATTTGAGATTAAAAAGAATATTTTTCAGAGACGAAATAATCTTTGCTGGTTTTTTAATGAAAGATTTTTCGGTTCTATCTATGTATATTCGAATATTTTAACAATGACGTTAATCAAGAACTTTTAGAAAATTCTTATAACTCGTAACACGATTTCACGATAGAGCTAGCCATGAGTTGTCGTCTAATCAACGAGGAACACGTGGAACATGTAGTAAAAGTACAAAATAATTATGTCGACAGTTCACCTCTTTGTATAACACCTGTCACCACTACGAGAGTCGAGAACGTAATGCCAAGATTTCGACGCGCGTCGGCAACGATGCCGCTGTCATTCTGAGAGACGTCGGAAAGGAAACTGAGGTTGACTCTGATACTCAGGCACGTCACTGTGATTTTAATCGAATCCCCTCCCGTCTCGAATGTAAAGCGAGCGACAATGTGGCCTGTAACAACTAATTACTACTATTATACAGTATTTCCCAGTCACGTGCGCGCATTGAATTTTTTCACGTAATTTTTTCTCACATTCATTCTTTATATTACTCCATCGTTTAATTGCCTTTAGAAACGTGGAGCATGCATGTCACGCATCATGTGTCCTGAAAATTGCTTCGTTCGACAGCTTTCGATTTTTTCCACCTACCTCGACAAACAGTGATGGTATGGATGTCGAATGATAGATATGCCTGGGAAAATTGATACGTTTGCTATTAATTCATTGTTATTGGCCACGCCAGGTTTAATTTTGGAATGTGCGATGTTTTCATTTCTACATACAAACATTTGCTATTGAAAGCGAGAACGTGATTCATATATGTTGATACTATCATGTTTATTCAATATCTTACCTATGAGTGGCAATTTAACGAGAAAGGAATGCAAATTGCGCGTTCTTATTCTAGTCATTGCGTCCTGATAATATTTTCACTGTTGCGTCTAGGTCATAAGGACATGTATTGCGCGAATAGAATTACAAAATTATTTCTCGAAGACAAGAAATTGTTCACACTAGATTTCAACCTTGACAAGTAAAAATGTGACAAGCCTTGACAGGAAAAAGTCTATTTCTTCGCGGGAAAAAGTTATTTCCATTTTTGAACAGCATGGTGACAGTCTACGAGTTAATTTTATATCTGATGTGCACAACATTGAAGCGCCGAGAGTGTTCTTATAATATGTAAATGATGTACGTATTTCCTGTTTACAAAATTTTGAGATATTCATGAAAGCTATTTTAAATGCCAACAGAATTCTGTTCAAATACTAATGATCAATTTCTCACAATAATTTTCTAAAAGTGTGTATTAGAGTCTAAAGAAATCTGTTTTAATATTTACATTACATACTAACAGGAAAATTTAACAGAGCATAGCCAGTTACACTTTCTCTTCATCATTTACGCAATCGGTTCTACCTTGATGCGAGCAATCTGAATAATGTCGATTCATTTTATTAGTAATGATGCGATCGAGGAAAACATGAATCTGACGTATTTTTTATATAGAAAATAACTGATATCTCGAAATTGAATTGAAAATAATCCTTTGTCTGATTGATTTAAAGGCATCGTTGTCATTGCTTTGTATGATTCTCAACATACGTCGAGAATACTAAAAATAACGAGCAGATTTTCCAAGCACGTTACATTCTTGTATAAATTTTGAATTGATTATTTTCTTTTTATGGTTGTAGTTAATGCATATTAATATGTTGTATTTTAATTATATGATGTATTATACGTTGTATTTTAATTATATGATGTATATCCTTATATTATGTATTAAATATAGCAATTTTGTATTACATTTAAATAAAATTTATCAATAGTCAATAGCAATGATAGATTAGTTTTAAGATTAATTAAAATTTGTATTACGATTGATCGTTTGGACACGAGATACAAATCTGTTGGGTAATCTTTCCATAAATATATTCTTTATATTAATAACTTTCCTCTATGATAACAGAATACTAATGAATATTTCAGCAAATGTTTTCTATGAATCTACAAAGTAAGGTTTTCTTTTTAAATATGAATATGTAAATTAATTAACTAAACATCACAAATTCGAAATACTGTAAATTTAGCAAATTTAATTTTCGATGACATAAATACAAAAAAAAATGTAATCTTTCGTTAATTGTGGTATTTGGATTATTAAATAATGAATAGAACAATTCTCTTTATCCACATTTTGTAGAAAAAATGAGAAATTTTAAACTTACGTTTAAATTACATTTTTTAATTATAAATGCAGTAATTAACATCTAACAATTAATAAATAATATGATTATATAATACAATATTAATTAGAAAATAGATTGTATTCATTGTATTCATTGTTTATGTGCGTGTATAAGAATGAAGAAATATTATTTAAAATTTCTATCTTTTAACGTATACTGATTCTTGTCATTATTAGCGATACAAATTGGTAAAGCCTGAGGATAGATAAGTAGTAAAAAAATTTGCCATGAAATCCAGATGATCTTCGAATGCTCATCGTTTTGCTCCTTTCCTCATACCTGCTTTAATCGAGAAACGGCATAGTTGAACTACGTCAGATAGCAGGCAATGGGAAGAGCCAAGGACGAGATGGGACGAGAGCAAGGAAGGAAAGGGGTCGTTCAGCGCGCGGAGACAGCACGATAGTCCCTAAAGTATATTTGCATTTGCATTCGGTAATTAAACTCTCTCCGTTTCCGCGATACTAGACTACCTCCAGCTCGTTCTTATCGAAGTTTGTCGAAGAAGAGCAATTGGTCGGCTCGAGGAATTCCAAATGGCTTTCTCGTGCCCGAGGCACGTGACCAAGTTATAACGGCCGGAAGTCGACGAGAGATACAAAACTGTCCAACGATCTGTCTAGTGATTAATCGTTTCGTTCAGTCGGAGTTACCCCGTGTTCCATTAATTAAGTAATTAAACCGCTGTCGTTTCACCTCTAGCATTAAGATTGACAAGAGATTTCGTGCAAAATAGATCACACAGAAGAGAGTTCTGTTACAAACCTGTGTCAGTTGTCATTTCACTGTTTTATTTATGAGAATCAAAATTATTTTCAAAAGCACAATTTGATTTAGCACCGCCAACAATTTTTAGGAAGTTTCTAAGAAAAATCAACATATATAAATAATAAAACGTTTTATTTACACGCATCATATGATTAATTATATTCTTAAAATGCTTTTTTAAATAAATGATTGAGGTAACATGATTCAACATATTAAACTAATTAGCACGTTTATTACACATGTACGTTAAACAAACAGATAATGGTGCAACTAGCGCAATTAAAAGGTTAAGGCCTTGCTCGTAGCACATGTAATTTTCGACAGGTGTTACCTTTTCTATTTGCTTTCCTTGAAAATGCAAGTATGTAGGTAATTTTGCATATAAAATTACTCATTTAATATAAAAACATAGAATCGGTAGTTGTAGATGCAATTATGTAAAGTGATAGAAACTCGTTTTTCCCTTTTAACTTTATGTTTAAAATTATAAACGTTCTAGTTATATGAAACATGCACACATGATTCCATTCAAATCAATTTCAAGAAAAAGAAGAAAGAACAAAACACGTGATTTTAACAACGCGAAGAGAAAAGCGCGAGCGAGCAAAATACAAGTAAATTAATTAGAAATAACATTTCCCTGACGCAATTCATTTTCAAGCGGCAACTTTTCCTATAAAGAAACGTTTAATTTTTTTTCGGCTGTATTGTATCTTATAATGACACATTATTCTGCTTTAAGTACAAGAAAAAAGAATAGTCGTCGCGTACCGTCTTACGAAAGTTTCTCCTTTGTATAAACTTCATCTTTAAAAAATCATAATTATTGAACGAATGCATCACATTTTTGATATCCGACTGTAAACGCCTTCATACATACGTATGTATATAAAATTTCATTTGCATAGATATACAAAGATACGATTACGGTGTCAGATACGCGCGTACGCGCGTTTTTATCCCGCACGGAAGTCGGGGAATCTACTCGATATCCCATGTCTACGATATCGGCAAAGTTGGCCACGGGAGACCGAGCCTACTTGGCGGATATATGTAATAAAAAGAGAAATATCGTGCGAAGGGGGTAAGGGGGAGCGAGGTGCGAGCAGGGCGCGTTGCAGCTCGCGGCTATCGCCTTGTAAAATGAGAAATGCATGAGAAAGCCGCGGGGTAAGGGACTTACCATCGTGGGAGTCGTAGAGGTAGATGATTTTCTTCCAACCGTAGTATCGCACCGTATCGATGATAGCGCGATGGTAATCCGGCCGCATACTTATGGCGAAGTCCAGGAGACCCGAGGACGGCGTCAGAACCTACAATACATACAATAATCCTGTGCATTTACGATCGGTCGAGTTGGAAAATTTTCAATAGCGCGTGCCTTCCACCTGTGCTAACGGAATTAATTCGGCTAAGGGAAAGGCAGCTACATCGAAACTTTAATTTGAATCGATGCACACACGCACATACACACATGCGCACAATCTAGCTTTTACCGCTCATGAATTCTCTTTGAAATTTAATTCCTCGCGAATGTGCAACTATGCGCATCATGATTTACTGACGAAATATATGCCTTTTGATACTAATTTCAGTTGTCGGGATTTCCTTTTTTATCTTTTTTTTCGCGAAATATTGCGACGTTTTAAATTTATATCTCTGCGCGAGACTTTTTTTAGTGCAAGAAATTAATTTCTACGATAGTTATAAATATCTGTTCGAAGTAGAATTTAAGAGAATGTTTTCTTTGATCTTTTGGAAGACAAAATAAATAGCAGGTTTCAAAAATTAATCATCGCCCAACTGGAATAATCATATCCCATCACGTATTGAATTTCCAATCGTATCTCGATAACGTCTCTTTTTCTTGAAAGAGAGGCAGCGATGCAAACGCAGTGCGGGGAAGGATCTCTGGAAATTGAAAAAGGATTTTCTCTATATAAATGGCCATTCCTGGCGAACCGTAATTGGTCCAAAAAAAAAAAAAAAATAGAAAGCCGAGGCGTCGAATCAGCATTACCGCGCGATTACCATTTAAACGACATCGACGTTCGTTATGCGCTCGCATATATACTTATACCGCTCGAAAATATATCGTGGGAAAAATACGCACACACAAACGCCGAAATACTCACGAGCTCGACGTTCATCCTGTAGAATCTAGCGTGATATCAGTTTACAACGGCGCGATAAATGCAGCCCCGGCAATTCGAGCCGGCGAATAAATTTTCGGCTAGCCAATTCATTTCGCAATTCAAATTGTAATATGTTTACTGTATGTATCGCATATATATTTGTGTATTTGTATGAACGATCGTATCGATCAAATCCATCATCATGCATCTCACGCCGCTCGCTAATTATCAGCTGCAACGCGAAACGAAACCATTGATTTCGCGAACAACAATTATTGTCATACGCACACGTACCGTAAGCATGCACTTTGTTTTCTTTCTATGTCGAATCGATAAATGTAGGATGAAAAATTTATTTTCATGATGAATGCATCGGTTGTAAGTGCCTGCTATAAACACATGATTTAAACACCAACTCTAAGCCATTACGTATATACATCCCTCGATATAACTTAAATTCAATGAGGTGTGAAACGGAACGCGAGAGTAATGTTACGTAATTTATTATTATTATAAAAAATAATTGTCAAGATAATTGTCAAATATTTCAATAATTATCAAATACCGAAATAAAGTAAAATGTAAATTTTATAGATATAATTTAAACAGAATCGATATGTATATACAAAATAGTATCTTTAACATGTGTACACTGTAGGAAAGACATATAAATATATCTTTAAAAAAAGGTGTATAAATTAGCAGAAGAAAGAAACAGAAAAACGGATTCCATGAATAAATTAAATTTAAATAAGGCTTCTCGATTCATTGCTTTGCTGTACGAAAAAACCCCAGTTATGACTAATCGTATAATATTGCATAAATTTGAGCGAGGCAAATAGTATAAGAACAGATGAATTCTTCAAATCGAATAAAATTACATAATTCCGTGGAAAAACCCAAAGCAGTGACGTATGAATTCCCTATAAGTGTATATTTAATAAGATGTACATAATAATTAATATCCTGTAATTCCAAGAAATCAAATGTCGTAAAGACTGAAAAATAGGAAATATAAAATAGGAAATATAATAAAAACACTTTAATTAGAAATTTAAAAGAGAGAAGATATAACTTGTTTACCTTTTCAGGAAACCAGGGTGTCACGAATGGCATCTGGAAGGTGTTGCTATAAGAATGCAACGTGTCGAATGAATCTGGACTTACGGCACCCAACATTGAAAATACGCCTCTGCTAAACTGGTTACAAACTGTAACATCGAAAAACAATTATCGTTAAAAAATAAAAGAGAATTGTGTATGTATAGACATAAAATAATATTATAAAAATATTCGAAAATATTTAAAGATCTTGCTTGAACATTTATTTATTATTTCTGTATTTATCATTGCATTAATTTTAATTTTATAGATTTTATTAATTTTATTAACATTTAATTAATTATAACATTTTATTAATTTTAATTTTATAGAATTTATATCCAACGATAAGATTCTTTCTGATATCTATTATTCTTTGAAAAATATTATAATACGCGATCTACATGTTATTATTTTTATATGCTGTTATTATTTAACAACCAACAAATATGTATAGTGTCTCCTTTATTAAGATCGAGCAAACGTCATGTGATGGGTAATCTCGTTGACCATTATGCGTGGTCTTCCACAAAGCACAATAATACCGCAAAAGTGTCAGCTTGCGGTACATACTGAACGCCTGCTGGATAGATTCGTTTTTATTAGCACGATGGAGACAAAAAGGATTACCAATAAAAACAACGTATGTGGTGGCAAGCCACACAGATCTAAATTTGATTACCACGCTAACAAAGTCGCTTTTAATAACGCGAGATAAACGATTGAGTAAGGAAGCTAACAATGAATGAAATATATGTCTTTGTCAATTTACGTCATATCTCTCGATAAGTTTATTCTATTAGTTTGACCACAATGTGGTCCGAATGGAATATTATCATTTATAAAATTGCAATATAAACACATTTATATTTTAAAAAATATTTCGTCATGTGAAAATTGACATTATTTAATGACATAGTCAATGTGTATCAGGCAATTGTTTTTTATTCGCATTCAACATTCAGCGCTAAACCAATATTGAGGTTTTATTAAAATTCAAGAGAAAACGATAATATATAAATGAAAAATAGATGCTATGTTGTGGTTGCTAAAACACAAACTGGGATTGCAATATACTAATCATATGTGTACACGCAATTATAGTAAATATTGTATCTGGTGGTTGAATATGATTCGATAATATGATAATTTGGAGCTTTAAGGTCAGAATGTTAAATCGCAATGACTGATATGCCGAAGATAAATGACGAAAATGGACAAACGCGATAAAACGTATAAAAGAACATAGAAGGAAAAAAAGAGAGTGACGGAGAGATAGGATATCGGCTGCACCGATTGCAAAGGTAAAGGAAGATTCAAACGGTTGGAAGCGATCCAAAGGGAAGGTAGGCGGCGGATAAAAGAGTACTGGCAAAGAAAAAGAAACCGAGGAGGAGCTGCAAGAGCTGCAACCCCTACAAGTTAATCGCTAAAGAAGAAACTGACAAGACTTGTGGTCGGAGATTTTTGCGCCGTTCGTCTAAATGACTGAGAAACGGCGGTATTTTCGATGCTTAATGTGAATAACATTGCAGCCCTGCGCTAACAAGCTATATAATCCGATAAACATGGTTAACCTTTCACGTTTCTTTCTTCATTTAAAAAATATTATTTAAACATTTTCATTTACTTTAATATATTTTAAACACTTTTGAAATATATAATTGTAAAATTTATCGATATTTAATATTAAAAAATATATATATTCAAATATTTTATTTTTTTAAATATACACTTTTTAAACTATTTTAAATATATATATTTTTTAAAAGAATTTAAAAAAATCAAGAGAGAGAGAACTTAAATTTTTTTAATGTTTCAATGTTTGCCAGAAAATGGGATCAATGAAAATAATTCATATAAGCACAATCAAGTATGCAGTAATCTGCGTTTGTAGCTACTTTTTTTCGATTAAAAGAAAAAAATTACTTCCGAAGCTGCCTCATTAGGGGTTTACAAATTGCGCATACCTAAAAGCTTATTACTCATTTTGTTGTTATCATTGCTGCATGTGTATAATTTCTAGTTGCGCGGCAGCCTACTTTATTTTAATTTAATTCTTTTATGCTCGCCCTCACGCTCAGCGTTCGTCCAGGACTTGGGATAAAAAAAGAACGAAAGAAAAAGGGAGGAGGTAGAGACTGACGCCGTTTTTATTTTCGTTGTTCCACAGCTACCACGTGTACGTGCAGTAGAGCAGAATTCAGAGATCCGGCGGCGCAACGGCCGGCATTTATTGTGGCCACCCCGAGGGTGCATTTATATTCATAAGCATAATGGGGCATCGTGATATATGCGCCCGTGTCTTGGTCAAGAATGTCCCTTCGCTCTTTCGTCATTATTAATTCTGCGTATCGTCGCGACACTTGCCAACATTTGCCGACGCTCATAAAAATATCCCTTTCTTTTCTCTCTATGTATGAGAGAAAGAGAGAGAGAGAGAGACTATGCTCCTAATTGTAAGTTGCAACTAATTTGTGTTATATATATATATGATTGGATATAAAAATATACGCTCAAAACTGATTAAACTTGATTCAATTTGATATTTACAATATTTTATACACATATGTATTCTAACATAAGTATATGTATGTACACAATTGCATCTAAATACGCAACTTTATATGTATGTGTAAATTAATCCGGAAACTTTGAGACATACGTGCAGTGCACTAAATAAAGCATATAACAGCGGCACGCTGTCGGCGTAAATTTCTTTTTAGCATACATAAATTTTACTGAAACTACCAATTAACGGGGTAGATATAACTCGCTAAATTCTAATTAGTTTTTTGGATGTTGCAATTTAATATGAATTTAATCTAAATATTTATAATTCGCTATTCTTCGGATTCAATATTTTCAAGTCTTTATATTAATCTATTAGGATATGCATTTTGTATGAGATTAACTTTACTTGAAGAATTGTAATCCTGATTGTCTGGAACGTCTATCATTTGTTATCTGTTCCAATATATCGTGAAAGTTTCGAATCAATACGCAATCCCGTGTACGGCGCACAATGAGCATACCAAAGTTGCGTCAAGTATGCGAAAGGGATGCTCGATCAAGGCGTAGGCGGCAGATGGTTGCAGTATTATCGACTCTATGCATTGGCTCGGGAGTGTGTGCTATTTGTGTGTATATGTATGTGCATGAACAAGTTTAGCGTCTATTATTATACTAAATATATCTACTAGCTGCAGCCAGTCCTGGGTCAGGCTAATGATGCCGGCAAAGTTTGCATACTGCACGGACAGATGCTACGTTCATGCAGATGATACTTCCACTATCTAATTTTGTTATACATATGTATAGCCGATAGTACAACACATATTATTCAACAGCTAAGTGACAACGAGTAGCATAAAAATGTAAGAGTATAAGAAATCAAAACTTTTATCGAAGTTACATAGTTCACTCATCCTTTCAAGATTCGTTTCTTATCATCACACAAGTGTTAAGTATAATTGAATAATTTCTTTTTAATTGTTAATGGAATATTTCTTATTTCTTACTAATAAATCAGTTGTCGAATCTCGTACAATTTTCTTGTGCAAGAGTATTACAAGAGTAATCGTCTATTACAAACTGATTTTACAATTCCAACTTCTGTAAGTGAGAAAACCGATTTGGAAGAGTGTCGATGATACGAGATAAGTTTATTCAAATCCTGATCTCAACTAGAAAATCCGCTCCTCCTTTCCTTAGTTTATGCTCTACGTCTTTCGCGTTCTTTTTGGTTGAAAAGTTTGAGGAGCCATTTCATAACTTAGAGATCATCAACGGTAACACTTACCAGAAAGAGTACGCGGAGGTAGACTTGAATATCGCAGACGAAATTATTTTTTACTCTCAAAGTTTCAAGTGCCTATCATAATGTAACCGGGCGGTCCTTTCAACTGGGTCGCGATGATGGTGTCAGCCACGTTCAGCAGGTAACTAGACGAATCTCGTGGCTTCACTCAACAGTGCATAAGACTTCTTCCGCGACAGCAAACTTAGTAAGATTGGTTACATTGTCGTACTTTAACCTTGGACGCTATAATTTTACGCCATAGAAGCATCTGTATCCTTCAAGAAGTGACTTTATCATATAATAAGCGAAGGAGGCTTGATAATTATTCTCTGCGGTTTAAAAGTATAATTATAATTGTGGTTTAAAAGTATAGTCTAAATCATATATATTCTTGCATTCAAGGCAGAAACTTAATTCTTATTGCGTGCACTTTGCAAGATTGTATTTTGCTATATTTGAACTACTATGTATAAAAGCCTAACGGTATCGCCAATTGCATTTTAAATGTCAAAAAAGTGTGTGAAAAAGAAAGAAAAAAAAACTTCCCTTCTCTAATAAAATACCTGTGTCGCCGGCATTATATTTAGCAACTGTGGAACAACTAATTCCAACTAGCACGTTCACGAACCATTTAACTTGGTAACTTGTCCTATCACGCATGTTCCTATTTGTCCTTTAGCAGTCGCGGCGTTCGTGTGTAGATGTATTGGTGCACGGAGGTGCGATGCAAATACGTGGGCATGCACCGACCTTATCAGAATTATCAGAGCACTGTTTCCTGGCCCACTCCGTATCCGTATGAAGTTCGCCCGCACAATAGACAAAGTTTCCGCGACCCAACGATTATCTCGATTTGAGCCCGGCGCGCTTGGCGGTGCATACGAATTCTATAGAAATCGCTAAGAGCGAGAGATACTCTTAAGTATGGTCGTAAACCCTGCGGAGGATCGTACGCATGTTATACATAATGAAGATAAGCCACAGTCATCTCGACGAATAAAACTATTTGCTGGTAACTAGAATTGCAAAAGGCCTTCATAAAACAATGAGCCAAATTTCTAAATTTTTCGCGGTGCGTAAATACTCGTAAATTATAACGCAGATTAATCAGTCAAATATTATAGGCAATGATAGAGATAGTGATGTAATGATTTCTAATTAAAACTTGAAAATACATATTAATGAGAATAGATTTGAGATAGAGAATCTCTCGAAAATCGGAAAATCGATCATATTCCTTTAAAGTTTACTGAGTCGTCTAAAGAAGATTTTCTTCATTTATGTACTCGTGGTCATGTTTATTCACCT